CCCCAAAACCCCAAAACCCCAAAACCCCAAAACCCCAAAACCCCAAAACCCCATAAATATATTCATAATTGAATGAATAGATTTTAGGAATCAAACCACTTCTTCCTACTCTTCGAGTTGTTCTTCATGTGACCATTCATGTCATCATTCATTTTGTTGATGGTGCCTCCTCAGATCACAGAACTCAACACCTCGGGAATGCTCCCCATGATCTCTCTATGACTTCGCATTGCATTCAGAGATGCATGCTTGCCTAAACACTTCGACCATCATGATTACCTGCAATTGCATTTTCATTGTTCCTTGTGCTGGACTCTTCTTCATTGCTTGCCGAGAGTTTGCTTGCAAGATTGGATTTAATGACCATGAGGTCATGCAGAGTATTTATTTGAGGAGAGTTAGCTAGAAAGCAAGTAAATAAATATGAATCGGATTTTAATTATCAAGAATACTTATTTGGATTGAGTTATTCCTATCCCTTATGATAAAGGCAATTAGCTATTTAGCCACATAAGCTTCTCAGATTTTCAAAAGTATGATGTAACAGAGGATAGTTTGACCAAATAAAGTTAGAAGTTTCTAACACATACACAAATCCACTTATTGTTGTCCAAAGTCCCAATTACTCATTTGATAAACTTGCACTTACCCTGATATGGCTTGTCAACACACAATTCTCAAATTGCATTCTTGTAGTACGAAGTCGGAGAACATCCGTCAATCACCAGGCTCTTCATCTGCGGCACCTGTGACTCAATTTCGTTGTCGCTGCACATCGGAGATATGTACCTTCTCGAGTACCGTTCTTGGTGCTTGTTGGTTCTGTGTCCTGTTCATTTCTTGCTCGAACCTATGAGTTAAACAAAGCGCTTACTTTTGTCAGAGTCAAGACTCAGCTGCAGGTTAAATATCTTATCGCGGTCTATCTTCTGGTTTGGATTATCAAGCTTTGAGTCTGACAGAAACTACAACGAGTCAGAATATCATTGTCAAGCATTACCTTTGACTTTTTGGTGCTGAATTTCCGTTTCTTGATGATTCTTGTTGAAGGATGAATCTTATAATCTTTATGTTTTTCTTGGCTTTGAAAGCTCAGCTTCGAGCTGTATTTGGGGCTTGATTTCTTGTACCCATTGCTTGTGTTCTTGGATGTAGTTTTGTTCTACACAAATGTGCACACTGTCTGCTTACCTTGTTCAAATCAACTTTCAGATATTTGTAGATATTTTCAAGTTTGTTGCTGAGGATTCCGAAATCCAATCGCATTCTACTGATGATTGTCGAAGTTACTTTTTGATAGTTCCATTGTAGTTTCTTTCGTTCCGCTCAAAGTCTCTCTGAACCTTCTTAACTTTCTCCCTCATTTGAGTGTTGTCGGTGATTAAGAGATCAATCTTATTTGTTCTGAGAATTGATAAGCTCCATGACTGTGGCCAGCGAATGTGGCTCAATATTTGTATCGACTTTTCTCAATGGCTGATCTAAAACTTGGTTGAGCGAATGAGAATGACATTTGTGATTGAAGATATTTGTACCTTGGGTATTCTTGAAATACTTGGAAGCCTTGGAGTTCTATCACGGTATCATCAACAATACATTACTTTGGGTTTCTTGCTGAGTCTGAGGCTGTGAGTGCTTGGAACTAGCTTTGAGGTGTATTTAGCAACAGGAGACCCTCTGTATTTATTTTGCTGGAAGATATTTGACTTTGGTTACGCCCTTGACTGCATTCTGACTGAAGTTGTTAATGGTACCATTTAAAGTGAGGTTATTGTATGACTGCTTATGAGCATTTTCATTCATATTGAATTTTCAATTTAACAGCTATTTATTGGGGTTTTGGGGTTTTGGGGTTTTGGGGG